TATCGAGAAAATTTTAAAAAGTCGCTTTTTTACCATAACATAGCCCTTATAAATATGATGTAGTATTCTGATTTTTAATTACAACTTTTTTAACGTAATTTCTTGATACAAGCCCAATTGAAAAACAATTGAAAGATATTTGTTTTTTTATATACTCGGCCGTAAAAATCGGCCTCCATTAAAGTTACACAATTCTGGTGAACTTGCCTAATGAAAATAAAAAATACCTCACTTGAAAAATAACATCATCACGATTATACGAAATCTCAAAATACTTTAAATTAAGAGCATTCAACAAAGTAAAATATATAAAAAAAAAGTAAACGTTTAAGAACCTTAATAATAGTATCCTAATGGCGACTTAATTAATTGAATATAAATAAGACTCTTAATTTAAATAGTGATAGATATATTGGTCACTTTATGATCTAGTACCAAGAAAAAAGATGTAATTAAAACACGTTGGTCCATGGTTTATAGCGTTCGGTCTACGATGTGACAGTCAATTAAATTTTGCAAGAGCCGGTTATGGCATGGATGACCAAAAATTTACTAACGACCTTCATGCTTTGTGTACCCACCATTATATAGGGAAGGCCTGTGTCCCAACAGTAAAGACTTAATAGACTAATGATAATAAGGAGATAGCTGTACTGTTAATGCTAACATCAAAATTGACCATAGAGTCTAATTTTCGTTCCTCTAACATAATAAATAACTGAAATTTGTCATTATAAAAAATATTAATAAATTGAAAAAAAGGAACACGACGAGTTAAAAAATATGACAACGATTTATTCATTAATGCAACAGAATATTGGAAAGCATTTCGTAGGTAATTTGATTGAAAATAGCTAGATACATTTTGATTTTGAGAACTATATTTAACACTACGCTGGTAAAGACAGTACTTATCGATACAAATTAAGTTAAGGTGTACATGTTTGTATTATCAATTAATTTTCCTGTATAACAAAGCTGGAGTTATATTCTGTTATTAAAAAAACCTCGAACTCATAATCGAGCGCAACGTTGTCATAGCTCAAGAGTTCAATTAAATAAAACCTACATCAAAATATGACTGAGGTTTTATTTAATTGAAACTCTATGCTTTGACAGTATTGCGCTCAACATTCGAAGCTGTAGCTGATTTTATAGTCCGAACTTGATAAGCGTAACTGGTCATAATAAAAACAATTATATAGGTGTATTATATAGGTGTAAGTACGTGTATACATGCATTTCTCTCGACGGTGAGCGGCCAACTTTCGGAATTGCACGCGTCTCGCTGTTGACGCTACCGAAGACGTTCCACCAATATTCATACATAAATTAATTTAAGAGCAAATGCGTTTTGGCATGACCACACGCACTTGCTCTTTAAATTAGTTCAAATATACAAAAATGAATTACTATCGCACTTTACCGACGCTTAATCTGACGATGCTCAACTGACACTGTTCTTTAGACGCTGATATAAAAACTTTAATGTAGGTATGTTTGCCCAAGTGTTACTCAGAGATTGACAGACATCGGATTATAATGATTATAATTGTCTTTGTTTAATTAGCGAGGTAAAGGCAACAGTTTCATCAAAATCTTGAAAATTTCAGAGCTTATGATGAGGTAAAGTAATATTGTTTCCACCGAACGCGTATGGCATATAGTAATCATAATTCTGACAAACAATATAAAAATCGAAGACAGTAGTAATCTTACAGGAAATTCTCATACAAGTAAAATTCAAGTATGTGTTCTTTTTCTTAAGTTTTTTTTTAAACCATAATAATTATTGTTGCTAAAATTTTCGCTAAGTATTTTTTTCAAGTTTTTTTTTTAAATCTGTAATAATAATATTTTACAATAATACGGAAAATCTTGAGTGTGCACTTATTCATTTTTTTGGTCTATACCTATATTTAAATTGGAACTTTTAAATACAACGTAATAACCTAACTGAAACACAAGCTTTTAGTTACTGAGAGACTGACTAACCAACAGACAATGCACAATCGAAATGCAGAGGAGATGCAGAAGCAGAAGAATGCAGATGTACTTGACATGTATGTATTTTCCTTGAAGAGTATAAATAACCCTTATGGGACTAACCTTGTTTGAAACTACTTCAGTTTAGAACCTGAATTGATCAAAATTGCTATTAAACTACTTGGTTAGAAATAAAGAATGAGCTACTGTTAGAGGATTTCAGAACAGAACAGGAAAGTTTTGTATTGGAAGAAAACCATTTGTACCACGCGGGCAAATACGATGGCAGAGAGTTAATGAAATATTATAAATATTCATATCGTTATTTTTATTTGTGTTCTATTATAATAATTTAAAATACAGTATATTTACATATTTTTTAATAAGCTGTAAAGTAAGACAAATGTTTTAATATGACAATTTAAATTACATATTAATTTATTGACTTTTTTTCTGAATACTATCATTAAATTTATCTTTCTATCTTGTCTCAATATAAACTTGTTGAACAAAAATAATGTTTGTTTTTTTATAAAGACTGACTTAAAATGTGATTTATCATTTATTCCGAGATTATTAGAAAAATTTGATATGGAATTCTAATTAGTGAAAAACATCGATATACAAACATATCGATCGAAAAAATATACAGTAGTCTAAAATACACATGAAATTCTTATAAGATGGCGGCAGATGCCAATTAAGATTTCATCAATACTAACAATATATTCGTCAGTTTATATGCAAATCTTATTTTTATGTCTATCTGTATCACTTGTTATTTATATTGAATCTAAACGACGTTATGACACTTCGTACATTAAGAATAAGCAAGTTTCAATTTGTAATCTTGGATTGATTAATTACTATACTATTTTTCTACAGTAGTGATATATAAAATTTGATTTACAATTTGATAAGGAATAAAATTCTTTATGAAAAATGCCAGGAACAAAGTAGATTTTTAAGCATATTTCAATAATAATATTTTTCAGTATAGCATTGTGTATATCAAATATAATAATGACAATGAAAAACGTAAAAATAATTATGCCAATTCTATAGCAAAAGACCTTGTAACAAGAAGTACTTGTAGTTAACTCAGTAAGGGCTGCATTTCTTCCTATTTTATTTCTAAGATTAGTAACTTTCACAATATCCTAAGTACTTACATACTCTTTGATTGTATTGCTAGATTTAAGTCTGTAGATTCTAGTATTATCTATCATGTAATCTTTATTAAGTAAGAAGCTTTTTACTTTAATCATTACGAACGTAAAATACCACAATACTGGTTCCTAACCGCCATACGTTTTATAATTGTCGATAGTTAATCACTCAAACCAACAATTTATTTTTTACCTCAGTTTTAATCGGCATTCTAGTGCGAGATATAGAATAAACAATATCGTATTACTGTTAAACTTTCCGTTATAATGTTAACCTGATTTATTTACTAAAAACTTTTTACTAGAATATTATGTGTTCGTACTGCGCAAAAGAAGACATGCCCGTGTCAACACGTTGAATATTTTAACGACCACTCGTTATCTGGCTTTATAGTAAATGGAAAGATACGATATAATATTTCTTCATTTATTGACGTTTGAACGTGTGAGAGGCATTTTTTATTTTCCTTATTGCTACGTATAGAATTTAAAACTATTTTGTTTATCAGTTATTTCCGCGGACACGATTTATTGTCGCATGTAAATTTTTCAGAGCTTTCTTTTAATAAACTATTAATTATGAATTTATTTTGGACCGCCCGCCGAGAGCAATAAAATTCATATTTAATAGCGTATGCAATAATTACGTAAATTATTTTTAATTCTTATTAAGATGGAAAGTGATTCTTTCATTAATATTTTCTATAATAATAAATTACTACGGTATAAAGAAATGCACAGTAGCAAATTATTACCAAAGGTGCCCAAAATGCCGTAAATTGTTAAGGGAAAATTGATAATTTGAAATAACCTGAATGAAGGTACTGTTCGCTTTAATTACAACGCAATAGTAATATGTCGATATCAAAGGAGTGATTTACTTTTATTAGAATAGACAAGTAGCTATTCTAATAAGAATTCAGCGGGCCCAGAGTTGTCGGAGCATTAGAGGTTCAATCAAATAAATTGGACTTTAAGATGAAAGGACGGGCCGAAAAATGGATGTCTCAAGATAATGAAGATTCTATATTTTGATTAAACCTCTAAGCTGCGTTCGGCGCTGTTATTCTTAACAAAATAAGAACGCTGAATGCCATGCTTTACCTAATCTAACTTAACCAATGCTAAATCGTAAATTTTGATGTGAGCTCAGTAAAATTAGCTAGTTCTTTTTTTTAATTAGATGTTCCAATGAGTATTTTAATTTTTATTGCCGTTCTTTTAATATTTTATTTTCATCGTTTGATACCAATAAACAGGATTCAAACGGTCCATTGATGCATTATTAGAAATTTATAACTGCATATTCTAACATCTACTGCCTAAACTACGGGTGCTTGAGACTTCAGGGAAGCGTTATACCTTTCTAGAAATGATACGTTAATTTTTTCAAGATGTCGACTTGATATAATAAGACTTTCAAATTTTTTTATGTATCACGGACACATAAAAATCTTTGATACACTTAAAAAATTGGTACTATTTAAGTGTAATAATTTATAATGAACTTTTATCGACTTCTTACGAATTACATAAACGTCGGCCGTAGTCTCATATGAATAATGATGATGAATTCTGGCACAGATACGTAAAGGATTTGAATGTTTATCTAATAATTTTACATAAAATATCTTTGAGATTCTTACATTTCACGTATTTCGTAACCTAACATAACTCAAATAACTAATTAGGATAATTGAAAATATCTTAATATCTATTTATTTCTTGATGTTCTTTTTTTTTATTTTAAATATGTATCTAACTACTTCTACATAGAAGATAACTTTATCACACTTTATGGAAACCAACATATTTTAATCCTAAAATTAAAAAGATTTAACTCACCATAATAAAATCCGAATTTGATCCCGTGCAATGCGAAATCCGAATATTGATAAAGCTGTAAATTAAATAAACAACAAAACTGATATTTTTCGAAGTAACGTGAATACTATCTAACTATTAAAATTCGAGTTTCCAACACTGATGCACATCACTAATCGAGTTCCAATTTCGAATCGCGTGTGTTCTAATTTCGAATCGGTAAATTTGAATTGTTTCTCGTTGCGGCCAAGGTATCGTGAGAGTGCGGCTAGGTGCGTGCCGTGTACGCGCCGGACGGTGGTCAACTGTGGACCAACTGTAGATGGAGTAGTGCACGCGCAAGAACTGGGGCTCTATTTTTGAATCATTCGTCTCGCGTCGAGCGCTCGTTTTCTACTGATTTTCGTTCGACTTAACAAATTCGCCATTTCTAAATCGCTCGACTGCAACGAGTGGTATGAACCACTCGTCGCTTAGCGAACGTTGTATGCGAGTGATAGAAGAAAACGAGCGCTCGACGCGAGACGAATGATTCAAAAATAGAGCCCCAGTACACCACGCAAGGCGTATGCGCATAGTGAACATTACGAACTGAACTCGAAGATAACAATAGATAATAGATTTATTTGAAACAATAGATCTTTTACTTGAAGTTTCTAAAATGAACTTAGGCACATCAAAATACAGGTATAGTAGTACAACAAAATACAACTCAGAGGTAATTTAATGCAAAACCTTAAAAAGATCGAATGTATCAAAAAGAACCTACTTACTTTGAAATAGTTTTTATATACAAGAATAACATCTTTAATTAAAAAGAAAAACATAATCATACTTTTTAGAGTTTTGTAACAATGGAACCGTGAACTCAAAAAGTTATCTCTCAAAATTCACTATATTTCCGTTTCTTTATATAATTATATTCTTTTTTTATTATAAAATTTGATAAACATATGAGTCATACCGTCATAATCATCAACCTGTTAATGTTCTTATTGCTGGGGCACATGCCTTCCCCATGAACGTATCTAATTAAATAAGAATGGACCACCACGCGGGCCCAGCACGGAATGGTGCGTCATAACGACTGCAAATGGAGCGGATTCCGACGGTTCTATATAGCTCGGTGGCGAAGTGGATAAGCGCCGCGGCCCGCGATCGTTGTCGTTGAGCAACTGTACCCTTGTCGGTCACGGGATAGGTGACCAAAAATTATTATATCGAGCTACTCCGTGCTTCGGAAGACACGTTAAGCCGTTGATCCGGGCTGCATTGTAGATTGAAGGGTATTAACTCTCCAATCCGCATTGGTCCAGCGTGGAGGGTCATGGCCCGTCCTCCTTAACCATCAATAAGGAAGGCCTGAGATCCTGCAGTGGGGACATAAAGGGCTGAAAATGATGATAATGATTATAGTTTTTGACGTGCAATACACCTCTGTTCTTTTCATATCATCTTCTCTCATTTGTTGATGTACAACAATGGTGTAAAACACTCCCAGCCTTAAATATATTCTTAAATATTATCACTCCTGATAAGAGAAAGTGTGAAAGCAATAATGTCTCGGGATTAAATCGAAAGTATAAGTGATACTTAAGAATATTAATAAGTTGAAGAATGCTTTGTCAATCATAATATTATTATTGTTCTAAACACACCATCACTCATCATTGTTACACGATGAATACAAAAGATATTAACTTGCAATTAATAATTTGAATTTTACACAAAGTAATCATTTAGTCGTGAAGAATAAGGTTAAATATAGAAATTATATGCCTTATTACTGATTAAATAAGTAGCAAATTTGATTACCAGTTGTCAAAGTAGAAAACTAAGTGTTACGGACAGCAAGGTGTTGCCATCCCAGTTCTAGTCCCGATCATGACAATGTAGAAAATTCACTTTTCTATATTGTCTCGGGTCTGGGTGTTGTGTTACCTTCATTGTCTCAAAAACACCATAAAAGGGGGACTTTAGCTACTCATCTTGGCAATTTATGTGATGTTGTTAAATATTTCTTTTTATAATATAATTTACAAGTAATAAATTAATACTACTTTAGTCCATATAATATAGTATGTAAATCTAATAAAACAATTTGATATTTGAAAGATACGCTACATCTAACATGTGATAGCAATTGGGATCGTCACCTACTTTGAAAGATATTGAAAGAAGTACATATGTATATCGACAGCTTTATGCAGTACTTTTACAATAATCGTAATAGTTTGCGGAAGCATTTTTTGGCTCAATTCACAATCATCTACCATATACACAAGATTGAAAGCAAAATCTTTTTATCTTCATAATCATAAAGCTATATACATACCAATTTTTTAATAGTCTAATCACGAAAATGACGCACTTCCGAAACAAATTTACGATCCTACTTCAAGCCTCCAAAAGTCATTTTATTCAACCTTTACCATTTTGATGGACAAAATAATTGAGACAAAACACAATAGCAGACAGAGACAGCAATAAAGATTAAATCAATCAACTCATCAATCAACAAACATTTATCTACAGAAGCTGGCAAAGCTGTCGTCAACAACTCCATTTTAAAAAATCGACAGCAATTTTTTACATAATTTTATTACATACATAAATTTAAACACCTATTCGAGATCCTATTCGAAATAGAGATAAGAAATCTTTTTTTAATATTCACCAATAATATATTTAATCTGTATGTAGATAATTAGCCAAGAAGTTAACTTTCCTGCCATACCTTTTTTTTACCTATTAGAGATTAATTTTACCAGAATTATTTTAATTTAGACTCCATGATACAATAGGACGGTCTACTGATCATCAGTCATCTTGCTTTTTTTAATAATAATAACCTTTATTGCACAAACACTGAATATATTAAAAGAAAACAATTGTAAATACAGTATACAAATGACCTTATTGCTATGCAGCATTCTCTTCCAGGCAACCAATGGTGACGGAAAAAAAATAGCTAAGTGATGAACATGGCGGAATATGTGCAATAACATGAGTATTATTAAAGTAAATTGATATATTGATAAGTAAGATAAGAAGAACAGAAAGTTCAGGTAAGTGAGTTACAAATTAGACAGTTCTTCGGTTGTTCTTCAATAGTTCTTCAGTTCTACGATGAAGGGTCTTAAAGAGCGAGTCTTCCTAACAGTTTCTGGTAGCGAATTCCATAACTGGACATCCTGTGCGGAAAAGATTTAAAATAGGAAGTCGGTAGTGTAAGAATGGATTACGAATGTTAGGCTGGAGGCAAACTTAGCGATGAAGAAGTACGAAATGAAAATATTTGTTTTAGATAAGGAAGTGACGCAGGCAGAGAGAAAAGAATAGAATAGAGGCGGAAGAGTATGCAAGACCCTCATTATGTTTTAAAATTAATGTACTGTTTTATTATGTTATAAATAACATTGTAAATTTAATATATTTGATCATTTTTGCATTCACAATGGTATACTGAAAAATTCCTCAGTCCTGTTAGGTCCTGGGTAGCTCAATAGTAAGAGCAGTCGCCCGTATTTCGAAAGGGCATAGGTTCGAGCCCCATCTCAGAGTGCCAGGAAGAAGTAGTTTTGTAATTTCAAAAAATATTTTCTTTTAATTTTAATATTCAAGGAAAGTGAACTCATAATTTAATAAAGTCATATTAGTAATTAATATTTTTAATATTGATCTGGTAACGGTATGATTTATGTGAATTTCATTACTTCTGTGAGAACTTGTGAGTTTGTTTCGATCGTTCTTCATTTCAGACAAAAGAAGTCCTAAAGGAATGGTAAGTGATAAATTGTTAGACGACTGATAAGTACTTTTGAATTAAGTATTTCTTTACGAAGACCAAAAACTGGCTACCAATAACTAACCCCTCACCCTTCATAAACCATTATCTCCACAATAGAACACGGTACGTTAGAAACTGTATCGAGAGTGAAAGTCGCGTAATTCACTGTGTCACCATGTTCGTGGGCATATATCATGATAATCAGAGATTTTCGACGGAGAAAGCGATGACAATCACTTTTGAATCTTAGTTAGCGATGTTAGTACATCTACGTTATTAGAATGCTTCATTGCATCGAAGTCTCTACGGTAGATATTGGCAATTGATGACAACGGTGACCTCATCCAACAATATAATTTTTTATATCTAAATTCGCACCCATTTGATTACAATACAACTCTTTCGTTTTAAAATTTCTTGATAGGTTTTAAAGATATTTATGAAATGAAAATATCTTTATTCAAGTAAGCTTGTTATAAGCACTTTGAATCGTCCAAATTTTTTTTTTTCGACTTCCACTTGTCTTTTGTCTTTTAGCTGACAAGAAGAACAAGCTAAAGATATTTATCAGCTCTTTATCATAAGTAATGAATTTTACATAAAGCATGTCATTACCAAAATAATATGTGTTATCACAATAATAAATACAACTTTCAAACTCTGTAGGTCATAGGTTGTACATATAATTAGACGTTATAGAACAAAGTGAAGGCTATTACTTCCATGCATTGCGGTCCTTAAAATAGTCATCAACTTTATAATAGCCTTTACTCATAAGTATGTTTTTTACATGAATTTCAAATTTATTTATGGGTAGTTCAATTACATTTTGTGGAACTTTATGAAACATAGCAATGCATTTACCCGGTATGACCCTCTGGTTTTCTGAAGTCTGAAGCTTGGAACGGCAAGTTTATTTTTGTTTCTTACGTTAAGATTATGATTCCCTCACAAAGTAGTGTGAGGGAATCATAATGTTTTATTGCATACATAATATTTTCATAGATGTATTGAGAGGCAACAGTCAAAATATTTATTTCTTTAAATATTTCTCTGAGAGATTCCCTAGACCATAAATTATATATGCATTCATTCAAGATATTTTTATTCTACAAAAGATAGCTGTCCGCGCTATCTTTTGTACAAAAAAAAAATCTTGAATGCTAGCCGCAGAACCCCACAACAATAGACCATACATCATTACACTATGAAAATAACTAAAATATACCAATCTTGCCGTTTCAACATTTGTCAAGAATCTAATTTTCTTAACAGCAAATGCTGCAGAACTCAGTCTACAAGTTGACAAGTTATCAATATGAGGATCCCATTGCAGTCGGGAATCTAGTGTAATAACAAGGTATTTTGTCGATTCCACCAACTCATATGCTTACTTTAGATAATTCCAATAAACTTTAAATTAACGATATCGTCCATTCGAGATCTTTCGAAGAAACGTCGCGGCCGCATTCGCTATCACACGTCAAATAGGTGTAGCATGAAGATCGGTGACCAA